AAGTAATTTCATTTATTTTCTCAGAAACTACCGAATTTACTTTAAACGTGGTTTAGTTGTTCACTATAATCATATGATGCAATATCAAAAGGCAGATAATCCTAGTTATATTTTGCAAAGTTATTCCCCTTATTTCTCTAAGATGTTTTCGCTCTGATTAACCTTTTGGTTACGGCTAATTTCAAACATATTCACTTTAAACTTAAAATACTTATTTCATATGAAAGTACTAATGCATTTCTGAAGGACAGATGACCCTGAAAGGTATTTTGTCTAAAATATCTCCCTTTTTATATTTAAAAAAAAAAACATCACAAATATTCACTTCAAACGTGAAATATTGATCGAATATCAAGGCAAATATTTTATTTTAACAGAAACGGCAAATACGGGAAAAACATAGTATGAAATGCACGGTCAATACGAAAATCGAAAAAAAAAATATCATGTAGTACTCCTTGATCATGTAGTATTCGATCCGCAGTCGGGTGCAAGATATGAGCGAATTTTACGATTATATGCACCGGAATTTTTGTAAGCAGCCAGCCCGCATAGAGCGCGAGACTTGTAACCTCGACCTTGTTGGTTCTATTCCCGGGCTGGCCAACTAAAATTACTGATCAGTCTTTCGGATGATACTTTAAATTGAGGTCCCGTGTATGGGTGCTAAAACAACTTGGCACGTTAAAGAAGGGGAACCTTCTGGAATCGGGGCATCTTTCCATATTATGTTATTGCACTATCCTCCAAAATCTAAAATGACTTGTACTCTTCTGGAGGACTCGCCCATATGGGCAACCGGTGGCGAGTATAAATAAACGCAAATTCACACACAGTAAGCAGATGTCAAAGTTTAAATAAGTACACAAGATTTAGTACATTTTACGATTTGTCAAACACTATTTACGCAACCAATGTTGCATTTCGCGCATGCGCATTCTGCGTAGGGCAAAACGCAATAACGATGTCTACAGTTTTTCATACTCACAAATTTATATTAATGTCAATTAAAGTCCATGTCATATTTTAAGGCTTTAATAGATGCGATTTCATGTTATGTCACCCAAAAAAATATTAATTTTGGGATGACTTAAGGCGGTAAGTAGCCTACTGAAAACGTGAATTTATATTTTAACAGGTCTTCGAAAATGTGCGGGACTAATAATTCAATGGTCAAAAAGGTCACACACATGTCGTTTATTTAAGGTATCATTAGATGACTTTTTCATCAGTAATTTGAATTGAAACAGCAGGGTGTTATTGATTCAATTTTAGTATCCCTGTATTACATAATATTACACAATTTGCATTGTACATTTCCTTTGAATAACTGGATTTGTCAAACAGATTGGCACGCGAACGGTTGAACCGGGACGTTTAAATACCATCATAAAGTTAATCAGTTACGCTTATTAAAATGGTAATTTATGTAACTTTTAAATATACCGATCAATGTTTATGGATTTTTAGAAGAGAAAAATTGTGTGACGTGCATTATTAAAAATAACATGTATTACGAAGAATAGAATAAAATGTGTGTTATGTCTCTTCCAAACAACCCATCTTAACTTCTCAAGATTTTTGAAAAAAAAAAAAAATTTAAAATCTATTTTATGTGATTTAAATTTTTTCTGTTTGCATCACAGGCAAATCGGATAAAGGATATAATCAGGTATATTGAACATATTGAAAAATGCATTATCACCTGTTCTGATTTCTTTTTTCAGAATGATAATTAATCTCGATTTCAAAGTTTTAAAATTTCTTCTTGTTTTTATATGAACTTATTTCAACAGCAAATAAGTTGACTTTTCATTTGCTTATAGATACATATTTCCACATCTTTTTAAAAAAATGATCTCAGTGTCAGGTCCCGTGATCATAAAGTTCATAAACAGTTATCTTTTTCCATGCCCTTTATGACATTCTTCGCCACAAAAAATATAAGTCATCTTTTACTAATTTTGTTAAAAGATATTTTATATATTTTTTTTACCGTTTACCTTGAACGTAACTCGGAATTGTCTATGAACTTTTCTACTATATTTCTATGTAGGGCGAAGCATTTTTTTTAGCCCTACGCAGATTGCGCAGCGCGAACAATTCTATTTCCGGTTCGATTTTACATAGCAACGGACCGCGTCGTAAAAAGGTCTATAAAGAAAGAATACCATGCAAGTTATCTACCTTCCAAATATGAAATACATTTGTCAATAAATAAAGGCTGTAAAAGTGTAGAAATTATTTTAGAACTGGTGACCCTTGACCCACCTGAACCATAACTCCATCCAAAGGAGAAGACCTCAATTCCATGTTCTACCAAATAAAAGACATCTTTTCAAAAGAATAATGTTTAAAACACCTGTAAAAATGTTAAAATCTATTTTTGGCATTGGTGACTTGGCCTTTACCCACAGGACCCCAACTAAACCCAAAGGAAGAAGACATCCCTTGGCATTTTGTATTAAACATGAAATACATAATCTTAACAAATAACGGCTTAATGAGCAAAAATGTTATTAAAAATTCACACACCAGTGACCCTTGACACTAGAGACCCCTTACTTCCATAAAAAATACACGGCCCATGAATGGTATCCCCTACCGAATATAGAAGAATATCATTAAATAATTTTTTTAAGTAAATCCAAACTTACCGGAATAGGTTAACCATACAAGGTCCTATTTTTAAATGAAAAAAAGGGAATATAACTTGGGAAAATAGATGACAAAGTCATGAACTTTTTTCTAAATAAAGTAAGTGTGGAAATTATGAAAGCCATCAAGTATAGACAGTACTTAAATAAATCCAACATGCCGGTTTAGGTTAACGATATTCATCTCAAACTGCTGAAAATGGCAATAACTTGATTAAAATTTATGCAATAATTATGTTACTTGCCATGATCAAGTTTATTGTATTGATTAATAAATGTTTAAATTATGAAGCCCTTTGGTACTAGTAGATTTTAGGAAAATTGTGTCCTAAAGGTAAAGGCGTTTTTTTTCCCATTATCATGCAAGTGTATGTGCTTTTGCATGACTTTCATAGTGATTTTACTGTATTTTAAATTGTTTCCATATTATAATATAAGTCACTAACTTTAAGCCACTAGTCTGCCGACTCTAAGCTGTTAGATTGCCAACTCCAGGTTGCAAAGCTGGATAGGATAGGCTGTAGGGGCATTAGGGCGGCCTCTCGAGGATACTAGGCTACCAACGTTTAGCTTACAGGGGCGTAGGCAAACACTTAAGTTCCAGGTCGTCAGCATTTAGGCTTCCTCTTCGACAGCGAGACAATTTGCCTCCTCAGTCAACTAGGCCAGCCAGACTTGCCACCTCAACAGCCCAGCCCGTCTTTCGTGCCATTTTACAGACACAATTTTATTAAACTATTTACAGAAAAATGCCAATTTTGTCAGTTTCATACAAATAGTAGACAATTGTATAATTATCAATATGGTACTTGCATAAGATCAGCCAAAAATCGAACGCAAAACAATATACATTAAAATTTACAAGATGAGTATTATCGCCCGCCTAAATTTTAGCGCAGTTCCATATATAATAAATCCACACGCTTTCAAAATTGAGTAGGCAGATTTAATTAATATGATACAACACAATAAAAACTTGAGTTCAACATAAAATTACATCTTGCGACATTTAACGTAGTGTTGCGACATTTAACGGTAAGGAAAATTCGTGCGACATTTATCGTTAACATTGCGACATTTAACGTCAAATTGTTTTGCGACATTTAGCGGCGGTTGCGACATTAAGCGTCAATGGTGCGACATTTAGCGGCAAGTGCGACATTTAGCGGTGTTGCGACATATAACGGCGCCACAAACAGTATACCAAAAGAACAGTTTAAAAATACTTTTTCGGAATATATTCTGAGGCCGGAAAAGTGTGTAGCGGTCCAGGATTCTACTTATCATTATTTTTCACGGATATGACTTACTCTTAAAATGCGCTGCCATTGCCACTTATTAAAATACTAGTATGCCCCTTGTCTTTATATCGTCGATTATTACACGTTTCTGACGAATATTCGACCTTAATTATATATCTTGTCGTCATGTTTATGTTTATACAACAAATGACGCTTTTACTTTGTGTAAAGCAATTGAGGATTTCCATCCTACAAAAAACAATGTTTTAGTTACTCCGGAAATATTCCCTCATTCAATTTTTGCAGCACTTCTCGGTGAGAAACGTGAGCTCTATACGGCAGCAACTACGAATAGTAAATCTATTTCTGCTCAATTCGAAAGTATCCCTATAGGGTGTGACACGGCTCGAATACCCCAGAACGCAATCAACATTGTACTAAAATATTGAAAGAAAGAAGGCTGTTTTGTCAAACGTAATAGGTATCCTTTAATGCAACATTCTTATAGATAAGCAAAGTAATTACGGGTGTTTCATGGTTATAATCGAGTTGTAACTGTCATTGAAACTGCATGTATAATTAACTGGAAAACATATCAGGAAAAAAAACATAAGATGTTAAAATGCATTCATACTAAATGAAATTTCAATGCATGTTTATATACTAGTTATTTTATGTTATGAAAATACTATTATATTGTTTTTCTTTTCAGATAGACTAACATTTAATTCAAGTTGACGCTCTCTGTAAAAAACACTTTCCTAGAAAATGATAACTTGTGCAAGTTTTTATATATACTCGTGTTGACAAACCCCTGCTATAAAAAGTACTTATTTTTGATAAAAAATACATTTGTAAACATTCTCCATAAACACACACCATTTAGGTAGGTATATGTTTGAAGAATCAATAAAATTTCAATGTGTTGAAAATTTAAAAAAAAAATTACAAAAACCAATAACAAACAATAATCTTACAAACGAAAACAAAACTATTTATTAAACAATTATTTAATTTTATACACACAGTTCAAATCTTATTGTAATAAAATGTTTAACAGCAGTAGATATCGACTGGTTATTTGTGTACATCGCGAAACGTTTGAAATAAAACCACACAAGGAAGTAAATTGCCTCAATTCTATGAAATAAAAATACGGAAACTAAATGCATTTTACCCAGCTAAACAGTGGATATTGATGGTAAGTAAAGTATTTTTCAAAACAAATATACCTTTTTAGAAGTTATACGATAAATAAATTTTAAAACCACCGTAACATCTGCTTTAAATATGTATAATATTATAAATGTTTCTACTTTCGTTTTCAATATTTTCTTTATATTATGTACAGTTAATACAAGTCATCAATATACATTGTATATCACATAATGTGAGGTTATACTAAGAAGTTATACTGCATAAATTTTGCGTCATTTACTAAACATAGATTCTTTCTTTCATTACGTTTAATTTACTTGTTTATAAATGGTCTTAGTGTATTAAGAATGTAAGGTATTTCAATGTGTACAATGAACTTTTCAGATAAAAGCCTGGTTAAGTACATGTTATACCGTAATATATATACATGATAAACACATGTATAGGTGTATCACAGTTCACAATTTAAAGTTACTGAGTATATGTAAACTTTTCTTAAAGCTTTGAAAGCTTATTAAAATCTATAAAGTTTATTCAAACATATTTAAAAAAATAGAAAGACTCGAGGTCGTGGCATGAACCTAATGAGGTAATAAAGAAATATGTTAATCTCAGGTATTTGATTGGTCAGAAACAGGTACAGAATGTAAATTGACCAATGAAAATGCAGATATTCAAGCGTGATCTCATGAAAAGGTTTGATAACCTCGGGGCCTGGGCCTGAGGTTATAAAGCAATTTTCAGCCCCGAGGTTATATATGATCTCGAGGTTATATAACATGTTTCTGAGATCAGTCTCAGATATCAAAATTTTCATTGGTCAGTGCACACTCTGTTACGGTTTCTGACCAATGAAATACTTGAGATCTGAGTTTGAGATTAGAAAATTTCTTTATAACCTCCGGCTCCGGTTCTATTTAAGGAAGTATGTTCATGACCCAAAGATCATCTTAACTCACGATACATAGGCTTAAAGACAGACACCATAAGCACCATCGTTCCTCTTTTTTAATACATGTATATAGTTTGCAAAACATATATGTTGTTCATGTATATAGTTTGCAAAAAATATATGTATTGTTTCTTTTCAGATACGAAAGTAAAACATTGAAATATGGTAAGATAATTTCAATATATTTTCAACGAATCTGTTAAATGATAAATGTTATTCAATGATTTCTATTCATATAATTATGTATATTGATACTAGCATACTAGCATATTATATTTCATTTTTCAATATATATAACTAAAAGAAATTAATTATAATAGGTACGAAACTATTTTAGTGTTGTCAGTACATGGGAGATAACTTCATTAATCATTAATCAACAAAATGTGGGAAAACGGTTTTACCCTGCTGGCGGCACTTGTTTCTACCAACGCAACCAGTGCCGACCAAGATCAGCCGGAATATTCGTTCCGTCTGAATATGGTACTCACTGTTCACTTTTCAGCCAGTTCATTCTTTGAAATTTTCCCTAAAATGGTGCCATATTGAAAGATTGGAGAGTCCATTTTAAATACTTTGCGTGGTAAGGGTTTATTAATTAATATGATGCAATATCATCATTTATATATGATATCATAATTTACGTTTCACACCAATATGAATAAATATATATTCTACTCACAGACACAGCAAATGCTACAGTCAAAAATTGGCGGGAATGCAGCGCCCTCAATCCTTGTAGCAGCAATTGACTTCGGCACTACATACTCTGGTTGGGCGTTCTCCTTCAAACATGAGTTCGACTCGGATCCCATTAAAGTGTCGGCAAAACAGTGGACTGGAGGTCAGTTGGTGTCTTCTAAGGGACCGACGTGTGTTTTAATAAAACCAGACGGAAAAACTCTTCATTCTTTTGCTTTTGATGCAGAAACCAAATATGCAGAGTTAGCGGAAGAAGGTGAACACAAAGACTGGTATTTCTTCAAACGGTTTAAGATGATGTTATTTGGCAAAATCGTAAGTTACTTGATATAGCTACGTTCACTTATTTAAACCAAGTACACAAATATACTCGAAGAATCTTGGCCACGTTTATGCCATCTGCAAAATAAGATACTCATATTCTCATATTCAAAACAAAGTTAAAGCAAAAAGGTCCGTCGCATTGAAGAAGTGAAGAAGGACCCTGAAATTGCATCTATTTCAAGTATCCTGTCATTGTTATAAATAAAAACTTTCCCGCATAAAAGTGATCATCTAAGAAATTTACAAAGGTAATATAAGCTGCACACCACAGGAAGGTTTTATCTCAAAATAATTATTGCATAGACAAAGACACTCTTTAACCCATGAACGAAACTCGGGATTTCCTGCTCTAATCCTCAGCCGAAACACTAACACTATAACCTTAAGCCAAGTGATTATTTATTGTTCAACTAATATTTCTTAAATTACACACATGTACGTGGGATGTTGGCGTTTTCTTATGAAAATAAAACCCTGATTAGATTTTGGTTTGTAATGTCCTTGTTCAACATATCACTTCATTCTAACAAATTATATTTCAATAGCATACATAACAATTTGATTTAACTGTAACGGGCAACATCTTGCATATAGTGCTGACACATTCATTTACATCTTTGGTTTACCATATAAGGGCATACAACGCAACATCATGCTTGAAGACGCTACAGAGAAGAAACTTCCGGCAAAAACTGTCTTCTCATTGGCCATACGGTTTCTCAAAGATGATCTCTTATCCATGTCTAAACAACGTCTGAATGACGGAGGACTTGACGTCAATGACATTCACTGGGTTCTCACTGTTCCCGCCATTTGGAACGATGCAGCCAAACAGTTTATGAGAGAAGCAGCCGAGACTGTGAGTTGATATAATTTCTTCGTTATTTGCTATAAAGTGTAGTTGTTTGGTCGTGTTTCGTGTATCTATAGTTACAGTAATGAGCACAATTATTTTGCTTTGCCTCTCAACCATATGTTGTATTTGATATCAAGTAACAGGCTATTGATGCAGTCATATTTTACATGATGTGTATATGGTACATCAGATGTATCTAAAATATTCAACACTTATAATCGTTGGGGTTGATAGTATAATGTTACAGTATGTTGCCGTGTTCTTTGTGCATATTGCCTTTCTATGTGTTTCCGTTGCTTTTTAAAGATGTTCATTTTTGCAGAATTTCTAATTCAAAATATGCTCCAAAAGAGAGCAAGCTGTCCGTTTGCTGAAAGAATTTGGGGTAATACTATTCGTATAAATATATCTCATGCTGCAATTTATATACCGTTGTTCAAGTGGCATTAGGTCTTGCAAATGAGGTTGGATTGAGGATCCCACATCTCGGGGACGTATAAGCTCTCTTATATCAAACAACATGTCTCACGAACGGTACCAATGTGTACGCCTTAAATCTGCACTGACATCATCAGATATCATAAAGCGAAAGTCAAATAATGTGATGCAACTTTAAACATGCATTTATAACCAAAGCGCGATTGTATAATTCAATAAAATGTAGTTTTTTACAGTACGAGTATGAGTTTGAGTATAATTATGAGTTCTGTATTTTGTATAACAGGCTGGGATTCCAGGAGCAAATCTTACCATAGCTTTAGAACCAGAGGCGGCGTCTTTATATTGTCGACATCTGCCGGTAGAACGTCACGTGGGGACCGATACAAAAGCAAAATTCTCTCTTGCCAAGTTTAAAGCTGGAACGAAATATCTTGTCTTAGATGCCGGTGGTAAGTAATATATCATAGATATCTTATGGTCAAGGGTGCTCCAGAAATTTGACTGTTAAATTGAAGGAAAATGTTACTTTAAAAGAACCTTGATTTAAAACTCGTATTTGACACAAGTGGATTTTTTAGATCCGAATGTGATTTGTTCTAGTAAAATGAGCGCGAGCCATTTACGAGTTACATATTAATGTATTCTTATAATGGCCCTTTTATAATACATATATATTATAATATATATCCTGGTAAAATGGTCAAAATCACGTCTTGAACGTCATACCGGATTACAACTCTAAATAGATTGATGGTTTTCTTTCTTTGGTTTAATACATTGTCTTTGATGCAAGCGATAAAGTTATGGAAGTACGCACTGCTTTACCTGCTACAAGTATCAGATAAAGCGTTTAACCAATTTTCATTATTTGGCTGAGTATCAACACAAGTATATCTGACACAATTTGTTTCCCCTTTTTTTGAAAGACCGTTTAGAGAATAAACACATATTTTGTAATGTATGTAAAATGTCGGTTAGATATGTGAAACCTTTGGTCGCAGATTGGTATGATATAAACTGAAAGTAACTTAACAGAAGTATTTGTGTTTGATTTAGGAGGCACTGTTGACATCACTGTTCACGAGGTGATGGAAGATGCGAAACTAAAAGAGCTACATAAAGCGAGCGGTGGTGCATGGGGTGGAACAAAAGTTGATGAAGCTTTCAGACAATTTATCATCAAACTTGTTGGTAAAGAATTGTTACTTTCTAATCATTTCTTATTATCTGTTGGGTGACAAAGACTTTTTGGTTTGAGAAGTGTCAGACATGCTCTGTTTACATGTCATCTTAAGACGTTTCTGTTTAACTGTACACTGGTGCAAGAAGACGCCAAATGCCATTCTTGGTTACATTTAAAGCACGAACAGTACCTAAATAGTACCACAAGTATTTTGTAGATTATCTGGAAGGACGGTATGTTATTAAAAAGCAATGCTCTTTTATTTATCTTGAAGGACGATATCTCAGCTAGCTTAATAATAACTTACGACTTAAATTTGGTTCTTCATACATGTACGTAAAATTTGTATATAAAATATACGCCGCATGTAATACAATATGGTCCTTGTGATGAAAGTGAAGGTAGTCGAAGTTTTAAACCGATTATTTCGATACAAAAATACTGTTATATGTGTAATATTACTAAAAAAAGTACTAATAGCAGAAAACTTTCTGCTCAGCACAGTTCGTTTGGACTATCCATAATTTGATTGCATATTTAAAGTAATACTAAAATTTTACCACAATGTCCAGCATTTATATTATAAAGATATGATCACACAAATGCCATAGAAGTTTGTTGATACATCTATGATGTGAATATAGCTTCAAATTTAGAAACAGTTTCTGGCTGAAATAAAACAAAGAATTTACCAGGGAACAAATTTATATTGCACAGTATGTAACAGACTTTGAAATTTATTGTCCAGGTGGTCCAGTTGTGAAGAAGTTTCAAGAAAAGCACATGGAAGATTATCTGGAAATATTTCGTGACTTTGAGATAAAGAAGAGGGATATAGGACCGTCCAGATCAGGGAAAATTACAATCCGTATGCCTATATCTCTAATGGAATTGTTTGAACAATACACAGACGAGACATTAAAAGAAGCAATTCCACAAACCATCTTTGCTAATCAGATATCAATTACAGGTAATTGTTTTAAAGATTTTTTTCTTACATTTGAAATGGTGATGATAATATCTGGTGTCCTACAATGCATAACATACCTTGATTGATGCATGTGAAAGCGTTGGCGTCCTTTTTTAGTTTTCTCTGTTTTTATTCAGTTAGTTCCTATTCAAGTATTGTTTGTTGTGTGTTTAAATATATGATTATCATACATATATATATTTAATATATTCTTATGAGTACTCAAATCTCTTTAAATGACTGGTTGGTCACCTTGGCACATCTAAGTTAATGTTATTTCCACCGAATTCCCCCTGAACAGAGATAATAAAATATAATGTTTTTTATAGTCTTTTCCATATCATTTCATAGCTGTTTATAATTAAATTTTCCAGGAGACAAAATGCGAGTGGACGTCTCCGTTTTCAAGAAATTTTTCCAGGAACCAGTTGACAGTGTAATAGAACATGTTGGAAATCTGTTAAGGGAACCTTCTGTAAAAGGCTGTGTAGCGATTGTCATGGTTGGCGGATTTTCTGAGTCACCGATGCTACAGGAAACGGTAAAAACCCAGTTCCCTAGTGTCAAGGTCATCGTCCCTGATGAAGCCGGATTGGCTGTTTTGAAGGGCGCTGTGATATATGGTCATTGCCCCCAAATTATTGCTGAACGGGTTAGCAAGTTTACATACGGGGTAGAATGTACACAATCATACGTAAAAGACCGTCATCCCGAACACAGGAAAATTAAAAACGAAGATGATGAATTTGAAGTTGAAAATGTTTTTAATATATATGTGAAAGCTGGTCAGAAAATAAGAATAGATGAGGAGTTTAAAGACGAATATCGCGTTGCACGAGCGGATCAAGACGGGATGTCAGTCATCTTCCATTATACAGTAAAACCAGATCCAATGTTTATTGACGAAACTGGTTGCAATAAACTAGGGACTATGCAAGTTGATGTACCAGGATACGGGAAAGATAGAAAAGCGATAGTAAGTCTAAGATTTGGTAAGACGGAAATTGAAGCATCAACAAAAGTCATTCATACAGATAAAGTAACAACAACCAAA